GCCCGCCCGACGCGGTCCCCAACCTCATCCGACCCGCCGCCCGAGGGCGCGGCCCCGGGGAGCAGCCGGTGAGCACTTGGGGGGCGGGCCGGCGTCCATGAGGCGCGACCTTGGGGAGCTGCCCCCGCCGGACCACGGGCTCCGACTCCCGCTGCGGTGGTCCCAGGAGCAGGCCGAGGAGCCCAAGGGTCTCCGGAGCCTTCTCTCGGAGCTGCGCAGGCTTCTTGCCTCTCGGAGCGTCTGTTTCCTCATCCGTAAAATGGGGGCTCTGCTGGCCGCTGGGAACGGCGGGTCTGAGACTCGGGAGGGCTGTGAGGCCCCGCCACCCGCTTCAGGAGCGCGCCCACCCACCCCCGGGTTTGCGGCAGGGCCGCGTGAGTGCTCTTGGCCGGGGTACATCCCACTGGGGTGCACCCCAGCCCTGTGGGGTGGAGAGGGCCTGGCTGGTTTCTTCTGCGCCCAACCAACTTGTGTCCCGATGTGCACTCTTTCGAAGAGCATTCAGGGTCAATGGAACTGGCTGTCAGCGCTTTACAGTAGTAGTGTCCTTGACTGCAGTAACTGTGGAAAAAGAGTCCTAGATTCATGTCCATTCTGAAACGAGAGGGGAAAAGTACTGTTTACTGAATGCTTGTTGTTTTTTAAACACAAACACATGGAGTGAAAACGAATTCCTGTGAGCTCTTGAGGATCAGTGAGGGTGAGACTCTACAAAGGAGGGTCTTAGTGAAATGTCCCTGGCCAGTCATAATTGGGCTTTTGCCCTGAATCAGTTCATGCAAGGGATGGGAGGCTGTCCACTTCCTAAGGTAGACTGTTGAGTTCAGGTTTTGTGACAAGGGGCATCCCAGAGACTGAGTTACCTGACTGATCTGGGAGTGGGCCAGGTCACAGAGAACTGGGCATCGTTCTTAACGGAGGCAGCATTCCCAGGCCTGCGCCCTTGTTTTTATCACAGTCTTTAAAGCTGCACACGGTACCGAGTTACTGCCCTGCTTTCTCCCATCTGTACCTCTGCTATTGATTGCCTGCTCTTTCATCTTTTCCTGGCTGTCTGATCAGAGCAGACTTCTTTGTGTTGGTTACTCCCAGAGGCTGAGGTGCGGGGTGGGAATGGGAACTTGCCCTGTGATTTGAATTCTCTCTCACTACCCCATGGTTGGGAACACCAGCCTCTGCCCTCCACGCTTCCCGAGACATGAGGAGGTTTTGTTTTTTTTTTAAGGTCAACTTTGAAGATGAAGCATAAGACACACAAAGAAAGTGCACAGATCGTACATGTACAGCTCAATGAATTTTCTGAAAGTGAACCCGCCATGTAACCAGCTTCCCCCAGAGCATCTGATTACTGTTTGCCCAATTGTGTTTCTTTTCTGACAGTAGCTTTGGCAGTTTTCCTTAGCTGCTGTGAAAGGAGTCCCCAAGCAGGGTATGATCTTGTCATTTGGCTGAGCTGGTGGTCCTGACAGGCTGGTGCTGAGAGACTTGGACCATGCTGGCTGATCCCCCACAGTGGTCACCAAGCCAGATGCTCCAGGAGCCTGACAGAATCGCTCTGTCCCTCTCACAATGGTCCTGCAGAAGTGTCAGGAAGACAAGGTGGCCCTTGATGCCCTTGCCGATGGCCACAGGGACTTCCCCTGTCGACACCCATGTTCCCTGCCCTTTCTGGTCACTGGGGGGTGGGCCATTTGGGAGTCTGGCTATTGCTTCACTCAGAGGGACCCTTTTTACTCAGAACCTACAGGTGGAAGAGGCCTCACCCCTCCAGCCCCGCTCTGGACCACCTGCAGGGGAGGAAAGCAGCTGTACCAGTTGCATCTCCCCAACACGTGTGTCCCTCTCTGTCCTCCTGTCCTCACCTGTGTCCTTTCCTCAGGTGTGGCTCCAACTTGAAGGGGTCTTTGCTCAGGGCAGCTGCTCTGCCCTTTGTGCTGGTGCAGTGGGGTCATCAGTGTCTGGGAAAGGGCCAGCCCCAAGGCAAACCCCTATCCAGGCAAACCTGCTGTCCATCAGGCCCCATCTGGGAGGGCTCAGGTGGGAAATGGGGTGCTTACTGAGAGTTCACATCTACAGCTGGCTGAAGCCGGGGCTGGGCAAGGCTCAGGGTCACACAGAATTCAGGAGTCACAGCCACTTGGGGCTGTCCTTGCTGCTCAGGGGTCAGGTGAAGGTAGTGGAGGCCAGGAAGGCGGGCGTCCCCTCATCCATTCTCCAGGGCTGGAGAACTCCCACCCCCCTTTCTAGAACACTTCCTGGCTGGGGAATAGGTCCTGAAGGCAGTGTTTGGCTGTGACAAGAGGATGGGGCTCCCAGGGAAGGATGGGCACCACTGGAGGCTGCAGGGTCAGGGCAGAGGCAGGAGCCCCATGGAGCTGGGCCTGTTGGCTGAGCACTGAGGCTTCCCCAGGGGCTGACTGGGCAGCAGATGGACTTGGGCACCAGGCGTGTCCCCAGGCACCTTCTGGGGCACCTGCAACAATGCCCACAGCTGTCAGCAGCATGTGATTTCCCTCAGTTCAGCAGCACTTTGTGTCAATTTTTATCTTTATTCTTGCTAGCTTAGTAAGTTAATCAAGGTTTGTAAGATTTTTAATCTACATTACTTTAATTGTTAATGAGATTGTGCATTTTTTCACGTGCTGCACATGAACTGTAATCAGTTCCCTTGTGTTCAGCCCTGTGCGCCCTGGTGAGAAGGTCATGTGACCTCACCTGTTCTACCTGCTTGTCTCTGGGGATGGGAGGGAAAGCACTGACCTCTCTCAGGGTAACGGTGGGGGGTAGCTTGGGCCTATGCTCACAGCAGCCTGGACTGGAGATGGATACCTGGGCCCACTACCAGCCCTGTGACCAGACCCAAAGCTGCATTGCCCCAACCTATGGGCCCAGTGGCTGTGTGGATGTGTTTGTCAGGGCCATTCATGTCATGTATTAGCCAGGGCCTGCAGCCCTGGCACTGCCAGCCACCCTGGGGTCATTGGGGCACCACAGCAGCAACGGCAGCAGCTCTGAGCTGAGCCCCGCTCCTCTCTTCTAGCGTTCCCAGCATGGTGCTGAAGGCCTTCTTCCCCACGTGCTGTGCCTCGGCGGACAGCGGCCTCCTGGTTGGACGGTGGGTCCCGGAGCAGAGCAGTGCCGTGGTTCTGGCCGTGGTGCACTTTCCCTTCATCCCCATCCAAGTCAAGGAGCTCCTGGCCCAAGTGCAGCAGGCCAGTCGGGTGGGCGTGGCTGTACTGGGCACCTGGTGCCACCGCCGGCAGGAGCCCGAGGAGAGCCTGGGTCACTTCCTGGAGGGCCTGGGTGCCATCTTCTCCCATGAGCCTTGGCTCCAGCTGTGCCGGGAGAGGGGCAGCAAATTCTGGAGCTGCAAGGCCACCCGCCGGCAGGTGCCCACCTGCCCAGCCACCTCTGGCGAGGACCAGGTCATGCTTGTTTTCTACGACCAGCGCAAGGTGCTGCTATCTCAGCTGCATCCGCCTGCAGCCCTACCTGACCGCCAGGCTGGGGATGCCACGGCCAGCGCTGTGGGCCTGGCTGCTGTCTTTGACACAGTGGCACGAAGCGAGGCACTCTTCCGAAGTGACTGGTTCGATGAGGGCCCCGTGCGGCTGAGCCATTGGCAGTCAGAGGGCGTGGAGGCCAGCATCCTTGTGGAGCTGGCTAAGTGGGCAGCGGGGCCTATCTGCCTGCTGCTGACCTGCCTGCTGTCACTCGTCTCCGCCGCCAGTGCCTGTCGGTAGGTGCCCCTGGGGCCAGGGCAGGAGGGAGTCAGGCCCCTGAGGCCTAGGCCCACTCCTTGGTGTACAGCAGTCACGGGGGCCCAGGTGGGCCCTTCTGAGGCTCATGGCTGCTCCCTGTTCCTGGCTCCCATCCCCTCCCTGTGCCCGCTAGCTCAGAATATGCCCCAGTGGTGGCTGCTGTTTTGCTGCCTTTCAGGCCCAGGACAGAGCCAGGCTTCATGGCAGCCTCCACAGTTTCATGCGACCCACCAGGTAAGGGTATGAGGGGACCCTCTGACAGCCTGGGTCCCTGAAAGGAAAATTAAATGATGAACAGACCTTGGTTGTTGCCACCCAAGGGCCACTGTTGGCCCTGCTGGGGAGTTGTTTGTCCTCCTGCAGACACACAGGCCCTCCTGGTTTCCTGGCCCTGGTACTCACACGAGAGGCAGCCCAAGAAGGCTGTGGGGGCAGCATCCACTCACGGTCCAATGGGGGTCTGGGCTGGTGGTTCCCAGCCTCGCCTGCTCTCTAGACTCTCTAGAACACTCCTGGCTGCAGGCCTGGTCAAAGGATTTGTAAAAGCTGTTGTGGTCCCGGGAGAATCCTGGGGCAGCACCAGGGAATTCTGGCAAGTTAATCCCTGGGCCTGAGCTGTGGACCCCTCTCTCTATAAGAAGCCACCTCCTCAGTGGCACCACCTGGTAGGGAGCAGCTGTGCTACATCCTCGGGTTCAGGCTCTGAGATACAGGGCTGGCCTTCCCTGCTTACCAGAGGCTCCAGGAGCACTTGGGCCTGTCCCAGCAGAGAAACCTCGGCAGCTGTGTGTGGACAACACCTTGGGTAGTGGGGACTGCTGGGTGTCTTGACAGGAAGAGTGGGTTTTGGATCTTCATGACCCTCTTGGAATGAATCATATGAAAATGAATGTATGAGCCTGGGTGCAGCTTTGGGGGAAAAAAGCTACTTTGCTTTTGTTAATTTCAAAGGATGCAAGAAAGGTTGTGAATGGCTCATGTGTCCCAAGTCCCAGTGAGCCCCTTAAGCAGGAGATGGTCATCAGTGGTGGATAAGAGCACCGCGATGTGAACGTGAATCATGGCTGTCACTGCAGGAGTGAAGCCCCAGCGATGCTGCCAAGGGCTGATCTGAGCTCTGGGGAGACCCCTGCACAGGGTCCTCTGCAGCCAGTGCAGGGCTGTCTTCCGCTGGACTGGGATGGAGGAGGGAGGGGCTGTGCTGACCACATTTCACTCTTGGAATTGATTTCAAGTTGCTTGGTTGAAAACGAAACCTTTAAACCTTCCAAAGTCAAGACCTTCCTTCCGAGGGTCTGAGTGTGGTCATTTGGTGGCTGCACATGCCCATGAACCCTTTGGGCCCCTCCTGCCAGTGGCACAGCTCTGAGTGGAAGCTAGGCACTGGCCCAGCTGAGTTACCTTTTGGCACTTTCTTCACCTTTGCTTGTGAACTTCTCAACTTCTGAATAGGTCTGTGAGGGGTCCTGGGGCCTCCTTTGCCTTGTGAGAGATGAGTTTTGGTGTATAGCTCTATAGCAGTAGGTCACCTGAGACCCTTGACAACATCACTCCTCCAGGCACTCAGCTTTAGGTGTGCCTGGAGTCAGGTCTGAGTGACCGTGATCCCCACTGGGCTGCCCACTTGGGCAGCTGAGTTCAGGAGTGTGGCCCCTAGTGTTTGGGGCCACCAAAGCCTTGGGCTGAGCCTGGCCTGGCCCTTCCTCCCTGCAGTAGAGACGTGTTGGCGACAGCCTTGGTGGCCCTCCCTCCCTGGTGAACAAAACCCCAGAGGACCTGAAGGTCCATTCTCCTCCCTCCTCTGCAGGATGTTCAAGCTGTGGCCACTGTCCTTCGTCTGGAGCAAGCTCTCCACATGTGAGCAGCTCAGGCACCGGCTGGAGCAGCTCACACTGGTCTTCAGTACCCAAAAGGCCAAGAACCCCACCCAGCTGATGAGGTGCTGGGCCTGTCCTGGGCTCCCCCACCGGGCCATGGTCCCAGTCCCTTCCCCAGGCCCTTTCCGGCTCCACGCCTGCCCCTCTGATCCTTTCCGGCCAGGCCACCCTCATCACCCACTCCTGTTGGACTCCTCCTTCCAGGAAGGCAAATATGCTTGTCTCTGTGCTCCTCGATGTGGCCCTTGGCCTTGTGCTGCTGTCCTGGCTCCACAGGAAGGACCGCATCGGGCAGCTGGCTGATGCCCTCATCCCCGTGGCTGACGTGAGTTGGTTGGAGTGGAGCCCAGACTGGACTCAAGCTCCTGTTTTCCTGGGGTGGTGGCAGCAGAGGGCCCTCAGTCAGCCAGAGCAGCTCAACCCTGACCCCAGGCAGGTCCCATGGGTGCCACTGTGTCTCGCAGGATCCGTGGGACTGTGCAGACCTGGGCCCTCCAGCAGGTCATATCTCAGCTCCTGGCCCCTGCTTTCCCTGCCAGGTCCACTGTCATGGCGTCCCCGTTGTCTCCCCACCGTACATGATCTTTCTGCTCTCCTGGCTCTTCAGGGTGGCTGATTTTTGGCCTGGGCTCTATGCACAGTCAATGTCACTGGGTCCTTTCCTGTGCTCAGGGCTGTCTGTGTAGTTGATCTTGGCCTCCCATCCTGCTCCCAGCACTGCTTCTTCAGTTCCCACACTGAGAGCCAGAGGCAGCAGCTGCTCCTGAACTTGCCCTTCATGATCTGTGCACCATTCCCAGGGCCTAGGTGCTGCCCCACCCTCCTCTCCCTTCCATGGTTATCCTCCCACTGTCCCTCCATGCTAGCTCTGAGCCTTTGCCATCTACCTCCTTCAGAGGCCCTATCACGTCTGTTGGGCGCTTGTCTTCCTGCTTAGGGCAGGCCCTGCAGGCCACTCCCAGACCTCTGTGGGAGCTTCCTGGCCTGTGATGTAGTTGAATGGCTGTGGCCTAGGTAGGTGGTCTTTATGGGCTAAGCCTCTGCCTGCCATTGTCAGCGTCCAGCCACAGGTGTGGCTAGGCCAGGACCCTGCAGGGCAGGAGCCCTACAGGCCGAGAGTTCCATGGCTTCTCAGGGAGAACTGGCCCAAGAGGGAGGAGGGAGGAGAGAGGGCCTAGGGGCTGGGGATGGGGGTTGGCTGCTTCACTCATCCACACTCTGCCTTTTGGCTAGCTTTGCCTTTTGCAAAATTGCTCAGAAATATAAATATTTAATTTAAAAATGAAAGCCTCTTCCTGCTGCCAAGCTCTTATCCTTTAAATATTAAATAAGCTCTCTACATTCAGAACACTCTGTTCTTCTTCTCACTGTTCCTGACACGGCAGAGGCCTTCACCCCAGGTTAGGAAAGGCCTGCTTTGTGGGTGAGAGGGAGGTGGCAGGCTGTGGGGCAAGGATGTCGCTCCTGTGGCCTCAGTGTGGGTGATGAGGCCAGGGGTCTCTGGGGCCTGCCCACTGCAGCTGGCACAGCTTTTCCTCCTGGTGCGGCCAGGACAGTGGGCAACTTCCCTGCTTGCTTTTGAGGGTCCCTGTGCTATCTCTGGCCCTCACTTGACATTGTTCTTCCCTCTAGGGGACCCTCCAGCCCTCCTACTTGCTACCTGGGCCCCTGACGGGCTTGACACCCTCACGCTCATTCAGGGTCATCCAGACAGGTAAGCGGGGTGGTGTCAGTTGATGGACAGTGTGCCCCTCCTGTGTCCTTGCAGCATGTGGCTGAGGAGCTCCAGCATCTGCTGCAGTGGCTGATGGGCGCACCTGCTGGGCTCAAGATGAACCGGGCACTGGACCAGGTGCTAGGCCGCTTCTTCCTATACCACATCCACCTGTGGATCGGTGAGTGTTGGTGGGCGGGTGGGCAGGCTTCACCCGGCCCCTGATCCCTACCTCAGCTCCAGGGACACAAGCTCTGGCTGAGAGGGTCAGTGGGGCTGGGCCAGGCCCTGTCCCATCAGGCTCTGCTTCCTGCCCCCATTATCCTGTGTGTGGAGCATTGCTTTGCTGTGCTGGCCACTCAGTTTCCTGAAGCCTCAGGCACCCTGCCTCAGTGAGGACTTGGGGGAACCAGGCACTCCCTGGGCAACCCTTCAAGGCTGTCTCCCATCCTGCCAGGCTACATCCACCTCATGTCCCCCTTCATTGAGTGCATCCTGTGGCACGTGGGCCTCTCGGCCTGCCTGGGCCTGACAGTCGCCCTATCCATCCTGTCGGACATCATTGCTCTCCTCACTTTCCACATCTACTGCTTCTATGTCTACGGTGCCAGGTGGGTGTGTGCCCCCTACCCCTGTAGGCCAGCCCCGTGTAGCCTTCCAAGCTAGGCTTCTGGGGCTGGGCGGGCGTGGGGTTCGCCAGCCCCTACCCTGACAATACCCGCGTCCTGCAGGCTGTACTGCCTGAAGATCTATGGCCTGTCCTCGCTCTGGCGCCTGTTCCGAGGGAAGAAGTGGAATGTCCTGCGCCAGCGGGTGGACTCCTGCTCCTATGATCTGGACCAGGTACTGGCCTGGCCCCAGTCCCACTGGCCCTTGAACAGGCCTGGCTGGTGCAGCTGCTTGGGCACCACAAAGGGCAGCCACTCTCCTGTTCTGTAGGACCTGGGGACACGGGCCCTCAGACAGTGCAGAGCCCTGCCCCTGGTGGGAGATGGACCCTGCTCCCAGGGGCTGCCGGGCAGCGGGCACTAGAAGTGATACGTGCACAGGGCCCTAGAGGTGACCCCCAGAGGTGACCAGGCACCAGTCTGGCTCTGGCTCATCTCTTTAGCTTGCTCAGACCTGATGCAGGGACCATGAGTGCTGCCCTTTGGGGGCATGTTTCTTCCTGCCTAATTTTCACCACTCTCTGTCTTTGGCCTACATGGCTGCTCACCCTGTCAGCTGGTCCTGTCTGTCCAGCCCCCGTCTCCCCTCGTGTAACTGAGTCTGGAGGGCAGGCTGACACATCCCTTTTGGTGCAGGAGAAAACTGTTATGAGCAGGCTTTCCTGGGTTGTCTCAGGAAGCTGGCTTGGTTGCAAGATGGGTGTGGGGAGATGGGCAGCAGGGGAGTGGCCAGTGCTGCCGGAGTGTCGCCCGCCTGGCTGGGGCTCTAGAGCTGCTGATGCTGATGCTGGTGCCTTTTCTTCGGCAGCTGTTCATCGGGACCTTGCTTTTCACCATCCTGGTCTTCCTCCTGCCCACCACGGCCCTGTACTACCTGGTATTCACCCTGGTGAGCCAAGGGCCAACGTGCCATGGGTAGTCCACCCTTGCAGGCCCTGTGGAGTGTGGCTGTTCTGGACCCTGGGCCGTGTGTGCTGGGCCCTGGAGTGGACACCACCCACTGCTCTGGGCCACGAAGCTGGGTGCACAGAGGGCAGGACCCACAGTGGGTGGGTCATGGTGCTGGTGTCCCGCATATGGGACCCGGTGCAGGGGAGGGGGAGTGCAGATAGCAAGAGGGACATGGCACCCAGGTAGCCCAGGCCGAGGGGCCAGTGGCATGTTTCCCTGGGTTGGAGCACCATCTCCTCTGACTGCTCCTGCCTGCTGCTTCCTGGCTTCCTGTGCTCAGGCCTCAGGTTCAGGGCTGGGTCCATGCCCTCCTCTTGGGACCCATTGGGCTGCTCTGCTCAAGGGCGTGCTAGCCTGGTCCTAGCCACAGTCCCAGCCTGGAGGCCCTGAACGCTGTCTCTGCTGCAGCTCCGGCTCCTGGTGGTCACTGTGCAGGGCCTGATCCATCTGCTTGTGGACCTTGTCAACTCCCTGCCACTCTACTCACTCGGCCTCCGGCTCTGCCGGCCCTACAGGCTCGCAGGTAGGTCTGCATGCTGTCTGGGCAGGGGCACACCCGTGGGCCCTCCAGAAGCACCAACTGTGCCACTCCTTCCTGGAAGTGGGGTGGGCAGGGGTGGGCAGGAAAGACAGAGACCCCTGGTCCTGCGGTGTCCGCTGGGCCAGCTGTCTGCTGTGAGCTGGAGGGAGAGGCCCCATGCCACTCAGGTTCAGAGTCCAGAGGCAGCCCTTTCTCTTTCTCACCCTTTCCTGTGATGAACGTGAATGTTTGCTCTCAGGGCTGTCTGCAGCAGTAGGGTAGGTGGTGCATGAACGTGGCTCAGAAAAGACGTGTCCCATGTGGTTGTATGGAGCTGTGTATGCCTGCTGGTGCCCCTCAACCTGGAGGGGACGGGCCATGGTGGAGGACACTTGGATGGCCAGACCACAACCAGGATAAACACACACCATCCCAGCTGCCCCTAATGGGAGGCCATCCCCACTGCAGGCCTAGGGAGGCCCAACCCAACTGGTCACAGAGATGTGTGTTGGCCCATCTGGTTCAGGGGCTTTGAACATATTGGAGAACTTGGGGAGTTCTTGGCACAGCCTGTCTAGCAACTGTTCAGATGGCCCCCGACGTGACCAGCACACCCAGGAGGCCCTGCACTAGGGGCTCATGGCTGAAGCTCATGGCAGCTGCTCCCAGCCAGTCCAGTGCCAGAAGACATGAACGTGCATGTTCCACAGGCTTTGGATCTGGAGTCTGCCTGCTGGGTGTCCAAGCCACTTTCTCAGCAGACCCCTGGGTGGCCCACTCCAGGGACCCTGCTAAAGTGCTACCCAGGCTGACTTGGCCCCCCAGCCCCCTCTACGCCTCAGAATGCCAGGGTGCGGCAGGTGGAGAGCCTGGGACCCGGCACCTTCCTCTCCCAGCCCTCAGCTCTTGGCCAGAGCAGGGTCCTTTTAACGTCATAAAAGGCCACAGATGCTGCCTCTTCTCTCCACTGAGTTTGCCTTGGGGCCTCTTCATCAGCTGATAATTAGTTCCTGTTTCTCCTTTCAAGAACCTTCCACCTTGGGAATCCCCAGGCTCAAGCTCGGGAGCCTAAACTTTAGGCCAGGGGCGTGGTGGGTCCCTGAGTCAGCCATGCACACAGGAGTCAGGAGGCGCCCACCACCCAGCAAGTGCCTTGTCCGCTCTGTGAGAAAACCCGTGTCCCACTCGGAAAGCAGCACAGCTAGTGCCCTGATGCCTGGTGGTGCCCCAGACCCTTGACTTTTGCCTTTTGGTGAGGTTCTGCAGGAGGCTCTGACGAGGGCCAGGCAGCCAGCTCAAAGAGGCAGATGGAAAGGAGGGGCTGCCTAGGTGGCCTGCAGCCCTCTAAGTGCCACTCAGAGCAGGAGGACTGATGTCACTGTCTGCAGGGCCCTGGGAACCCTGGGGGACCGCCCTGTTCCCTTACGGGGACCTCGCTCTCCTTGCAGCCGGCGTGAAGTTCCGAGTCCTGGAGCATGAGGCTGGCAGCCCCCTCCGCCTCCTGATGCAGGTAAGGCCTCCATGCACCCCTCATGCTGCTCTCTGGGGACAAATCCCCACCCGACACGATGCCACCTACATTCTGGGGCACGTTCTATGCCTCCCTGTGGGTGGGGCCACATGGGTCCAGGGTAAGGTGCTAGCAGGAAGACCTACCAGAACTGAGGCTCCCCCACCCACAAGGCCTCTGGGCAGCATGACCTGGTCTGCCTGGAACTTCCTCCAGCAGAGCTTGTGCAAGGGGTCCCCTGTGCTGTGCCAGATGCCCTCGGCCACCCAGGGCTCCTGCCCTTGGCCCTACAGGCTCTCCTTCCAGGCTGAATAGCACAGGTTTGGCGAAGGCCTCAGGACACCCAGGCACACTCTATTGGGCTCTTATCTTAAATAGCTTGGGGCCTGTCCCGAGGGAGGGAGCCGGTTGCGAGGCACCAGATCCCAGTGTTGGGGCCAGGCAGGCGGAGTTGTCCTGCAGGGCAAGATCAGATGCTGAGGCAGCCAGAGCCTGTGTGCTTTTCTCAGGGGTGTTCTGAGTCCCACTTGAGGAGGCTCCTCAGAGCTAAGTGAGGCCTCGAGTGGAGGGGTCGGCTCCCCGCCAGCCCGGCCCACCATCCCTCCCCACAGCATGGTCACAGCAGAGCATGCCCAAGCCTCCCTCCCCAGCTGCTCCCCTGACCCCTGTGTATCACAGGCGAGAGCACGACTGGCACGGAGCTGGGCCTTCCCCACAGTTGTTCAGCCCAGGGACCCCCCATGAGGGCCTGCCAGGCCTAGAGAACTGGAGGCCTGGGGAGTTGGGGGCCATGTCCAGGCTGATCACTGCCCTTGTGCTTCCAGATAAACCCCCTGTCCTACAGTCGTGTGGTGCACACCTACCGTCTCCCCAGCTGTGGCTGCCACCCCAAGCACTCCTGGGGTTCCCTGTGCCGTAAGCTGTTCTTCGGGGAGCTCATCTACCCTTGGAGGCAGAGAGGGGACAAGCAGGACTGAGGGAACCAGGCCACCAGAAACCCCAGCACTACCAGCTGCCAGGGTGGCTTTGACTGTCAGGGCAGCACACGTCCCTGCTCTTTGCCTTCCCTGCCCCCAGTTGTCTGGGACCTCTGCAGGCCCTGCTGGGGCCCTGCCTGTCGCATCTCCTGACTCTGAGGTCGTGGGAGTGGTGAACTGGAGGATGCAGGAGTGGCCAGCCAGGCCAGCTGGCCTCCACTCTGGCACTGGCTTGTTTGCCTTGGGACCCACCTTCTGATCTGCTATGATGCACTGTTAGCCCATGCCCACCTAGCCTCCCAGGACTGCCCCCACCCCTACACCAGACCCTAGCAGAGGTTTACTGAGCCCCGCCTCTACCCACTGGGTCAGTTCCCAGTGGGGTGAGCTGGCAGACCTCTCCGGCTGCTCCCAGGTGCCCGACCCTGTCACGGGTTAGAAGGACCCTTCCTAGGGTGCATTCAACAGTCCTTGAGACTCTGGCCCCCAAGCATCTCCTTCCCTGAGCGGGTTTTCTGCAGGATACCCTTCTGCATCCTCAGTTCCTTCCAGCTGTCTCAGTGGAGCAACAGCCAGCCAGTCTAGGGGGTCCAAACCACTGCTGACCCCCAGCCGAAACCAGCAGCCTCTGAGAGCCAGGAGGGGCCCTCCAGGAAGCTGAGTGGCAGCGCCCCTCATGCCCTGAATTGCACAGGCTTTACTTGATGCTCCTGGAGAGGATACTCTGTAGGAGGAGCTGCCCACAGGCCTTTGGGTGTGTAAAAGCCAGGCCACATGGGGTGCCCAGAGCTGGCAGCAGAGCACTACTCACCCAGCTGCCCCGTTCCTGCCCTGAACCGGAGCCAAATCTTCCATTTCATTCACTGACTTCTCGCAGAAGCAGGCAGCTCCTGGGCAGATGCTTCTGTAGCCCCCAGGGAGGGGTCCTAGCACTCAAGCTGCATCTGCTTGCTGACTGCAGGCAGAATCAAGTGTGATTTTGAAGCCCAGAATCCCGGGGGGAGGAAGCATGGAGATGCGAATGGCTTCACGTTCAGTGTGTCATCTTGGGGTTGGAGGTGGGGTGGGGGAGGGCAGTGCTCCCTGTCCATCCCAGGCAGCCTGAGCTGTCCACTTCTGCCACCCACACTCCTTGGCTATGGGCCACAGTGGGGGGGCTTCTGGGGGAGTCCCCACCAGCCCAGTGTTGGGTGGGAGGGGTCCTGGCTCTGCCTTTTTCTGCTGAGACAATAAAGCCTCTCGTGTTTGGAGTACACCTCTGCCTCCCATCACCATGTGGGCAGTGGGTCTAGGGAGGCACCCCTTTGGGGCAGTGGGACAGCTGGCTTCCACTGTTTGTCCTGAGCTGACTACTATGCCCATTTCCTGTTTGATGCTAAGCTGGGGGACACTGGGAATCTTGTCCCCTGAAGCAGGCCTCTTTGCAGGTCAGGTGGGTGAATGTGTAGGCTCTGGTCCCTTGAAGATGTCCTGGCATGGGTGGATGGACCCAGGGCCACTTCCTTTCCATTTTTGGCCTTGCCCTGGTGTCGGGGAGCTCCCAGGACCGGGCCGAGGGCAGGGATGCAGGCCTGTCTGGGAGCAGGGTGGTGGTGGTGGTGAGCCACTCCTGTCTCTGATGAATATGTCATTGCCTGAACCCTAAGGACTCCCTGCAGGGTAGGGGCACTACCTGATGGACTCTACCTGTCCTGCAGCCTCCAGGGACCCTCAGGTAGCTTCCTCTGCCTGTTGTCCAGGCTGTGGAGGGGAGGGGTTGGAGCCCAAAGAGGTCACTCAGCAACTCCCAGGCCTGCATCTCCACCAAGGGTCAGCAGAGGGCCCCACACGAGTCATGGAGGGCAAGACTAACACCCAGACCTGCTGAGAATAGCCTCTGTCACCTGTATTTCTGGGGCCGCCTTTCCGGTCACCAAATGCCAAGACTCGGAGATGGCACACGGGGTCTGCCACCCCTCCCACTGAATTTTCTCCCCTGATCTGCCCAGCCCACCAGGCAGTGGTGGCCATGTCCCAGGCCTTGCCTGGCAGCTGTCAATCTGTGCCGGGTGTGGGGCTCCCTGCCCATCTCCCAAAGGCCAGCCCCAGCCTGCTACCAGAGCTGGCCAAGGGAATACTGGTCACTCTAGCCACTGGCAGCCACGAAGAGATGCCACTTGCACATCCCAGGCTGCTCCTGTCCTGTCTGTCGTCCCTGGACCCATACAGCCCCTGCTGAGGGATGGCCTTCATCTGTGCTCTCATCCCCAACCCAGGACTCTTGAGCACACCTGCCTCACTGACTTGGCAGAACCTCAAGCTGCAGCCTCTCCTAGGCTGACCCTCAGGCTGCCCTGAGAAGTGGACGTTTCCCCCCACAGCCACCCACTGGGAAGGGCCTCAGAGAGGGACGGTGATCTGTTGAAGTCCATTCTTGCCAGCTCCCTCCTGTGCTTGAAAATTTACTTTGATGTAATTTCAGAGAGTCAGCTAACACAGTACTTCACACCCTTCACCAGATTCCCTGTTGCTAACATTTTGACACAGCTGTTTTTTCATGCTCACAGTCTAACATTTCTGAACCATTTGATCATCAGTTGCCCCTAATTGTGCCCTTAAAATGTCCAGTGTATCTCTTGTAAGGCCAAGGACTGACCTATGTAACCAGAGCATAGTGAGGAAAACCAGGGACATAACATGGATGGGGCCACCTCACTTGAATGTTCCCAGCACCTTCCTGTGCTCCTGGGCACCAGTCTGGAGGATCCTTTGACCCCAAGTGTGCCCACGTCTGCCTCCCCTGTGGTCTTAGAAGGTCCAGCCAGTCACTTGGTAGCATGTCCCTATATGGGGTTCGTTTTGACGATTCTTGAGATTCAGCTCCTGTGCTCTTCGGAACAGCAGGTAAATGTCGCTGTGTCCTTCTAAGGCATTGCCCTGGGAGGAACACCATGTCTGTCCATCCCAGTGACATCAGCCTGATCCATCAGTTTCTCTGTAAAGCTACTTTCCCTTTTAATTAACAAGTGATTTGTGACCATGTGACCATCTTGTCCCCTTTGGCCCGCTGGTTGCGTATCCACCATAGGTTCTTGCCGGTGCACACAGGTTTCAGGCTTGCTCCACCTGTGGGACTTCAGTGGGGCCTCTCCTTGGCAGCAGGCCTGGGCTGGGGGGCCGAGAAGCTGAAACTTGTGTGAGGGCTGCCAGAGCACCAGGGCCAAGGTCTGTTTGCCCCAGTGGGTGATCACCAGAACCTTCTCAGAGAGGAGGGCTTGAGGTACAGCACAGAGGGCAGTGGGTATCCTGGAGGGGAGGGGCAAAGACACCCCAGACCACTCCTTCGTTCCTTCCTGGACAGACGCTGGGTCTGGAGGCCTGGCCCCCATCCTTGTCTAAAGCCAGTGGGTGAGGAAGCTGCAGGGGGGATCGTCATAGGGGGCTCTTCACCAGACATTTCCCAGGCCTCTAGAGGGCCCAAGGTTACCCATGACCACCCAACACCTGGGCGCCTCGCAAGGCTGACCCAGGACTTGTGAGCAGAGGGCTGTCCTGGACTGCTCTGTCCTTGGCCTGAGGTTCCCCCATGGACATATAGGTCCCCAGCCTACAAACCAGGGATGGTCTTGCCTGCTGCACAGGTTGTGCTGGGAAGGACCCAGCTGGCCTCACTCTGTCCTGGGTGATGGAGAACCAGACAGCAGAGCCTACAGCTGCTAGAGCCCCTTCTAGGGGAAGTCCTGAGGCACAAAGGGTACTTTTGACCAAGTTCTCTGCAAAGTAGAATGATGACAGCTTCTCACCTACCCTTCTTTCTGGGCAGACTCAGAAACCAAGAAGGAAACATCAGCCCCACAGTGCTTCCTGTCCTGTCCCTCAGTGACTTCAGAGCAGGGAGTTAGGTGAAGCCAGGTTTGGGGGTGGCAGGTGATGGGTGCTCAGTTCTGGCCCCTGTGGGGGCTCGACTCCCTGCTTCCACGGGCTGAGGGCTCACAAGACTGCCCACTGGCTGTTGTTTGTGTAAACGCTGTGTGATGCGGGTGGCTGTGCCCTTTTTGTAAATGTTGGGAGCTGCGTCTGCTATAACCCAGTACTCAGGGTATTACGAGTACTGGGATTATGAGTGAGCCAAGTGGCCCTGCCCATCCCTAGCCAGCCTCTGCCCTTGAGTGTCCCAGAGGGCCAGGAGGCCACCAGGAGAGTTTCTTTGTAAAGGCACATGAGAAAAGCCCAGGTGCTTGCTCACCAGGTGCTGCCCACCCAAAAGAAGGACCAGCTCCTTAGGAAGCCTCCCCAGAAGGGGTTGGCGGCAGCTTGTGGGGGGTGGTCACTTGGTGTTACGGCCCCCATACAGAGGTCTGCTCTCTTTGAAGGTCACCTACTGCTGGAGACACCACCCGGGCTCAGTGACCCCTTGGGAGAGAGTCCCTGCTGCCTGTTCCTTGCCTGCTTGACTGACAATGTGCTAGTCAGGCTGTCCTCAGTGCAGCCCAGAGTCTAGCCGCTGTGATGACATGCTGGTTCCCTTTGCACAGATCTGCTTCTTAGGGAGCCCCAAATCACATGTGGCCTGTCCCTAGCAGGCACCCTCAGCGCCTTGTCTGGTAAGAGCTAGGCTTGGCTCAGCTTTGACAACTCACTCCTTTGATTGTTTATTATTTCTAACAGCTTCATTATTTTACAGGTGTATTTTATGTATTATAAAGCTTACCCATTTCAAGCATACAATTCAATGACATTTATTTATTTAAATAGAAGTACTGGCAATTGAACCCAGGACCTCGTGCATGCTAAGCATGCACTCTACCACTGAGCTACGCACCCCTCCCCAAATTCAGTGATTTTCAATACCTTCACCAGGTAGTATGACCATCACCAGTTTTAGAACATTTCATCATCCCAAAAAGAAACACCATATCCATTAAACAGTCACTCACCATTTCCCCCAACCCCCATACCCTGGCAACCACTAGTCTACTGTCTTCGGGTTTGCCTATTCTGGATGTTTCATATAAATGGAATGTAGCACATATCTATACTTTATTCTTTTTTATGGATGAATATCCATTATGTGGATAGACCACATTTTGTTTCTTCATTGATCTGTTGATGGATGTTTAGCTTGTTTCCACCTTTCGCCTATTGTGAATAATGCAGCTGTGAACATTCATGCACAAGTTTTTGTGTAAACATTTATTTTCATTTCTCAAGGAGCATTGCTGTGTTCTTTGGTACTTTTATGCTGAACTTTTTGAGTTACCAATTGTTAGCTACATGTCATATGTGACTATATTCTCCTGAAAAATTTTATCAGTGAGGAGAAAGTCACCCTCCATCTCCAACCCCAAAGGAAATGATGCTGTCTATTTTGGTGAGCATCCTTCCAGATTTTATCCTATGCACACATTATGTTCTTTATACATAAATCTCGAATGAATTGATTTATTAGGTTTTCAAAAGCATAATCGTTAAAATTACACTGGATATACTGTATGGTAATTTGCACTTTTGTCTTCCCAGGTCAGTGTTGTCTGCACCTTACCTTGTTCACTGTAGGGGCTGCATGACCCTGGTTGATTTAATGGGACCCTATGGGGGCTCTAGGTGGTTTCACTAGTTTCACCCTAACTATACCGCAATAGTGACATTCTCTGAGCTAATTTCTGAGAACTTCTTTAGGCTAAATGATATATGGAATAATTAGGCTGTCCAACCTCCCTCCCAGTGGGCTATTCCCCACATCTTGGCCCCCAAGCGATGTTGCCAATAAGTGAAGAGTATTATTTTGCTTCACTTTCCATTTTGCATAGTAAAACTGTATTTTTACACGTGTTCACACGCTTTTCGTAACCCATCCATTCGGTAAACAACCCCAAAGTCACTTCCTGCTGTTGGCCCCCCTGGTCAAGCCTCAGAGCCCCACGCCCTGCCCCTCTTCCCGGCCCATCCTAGGTTCCCCACCTGGCCTGACCCCGACTCTTCCCCGATAGGCGGTTCAGAGCCGGTGCTGCCGTCGTCTCTGGGGATGGAGGGCAACCAGTCCGCTGACCCCAACGTTCTGCAGCGTCGGGCCTTTGGAGCCGCGCTGTCACCTGTGGGCCTTGCCCAGGGCAAGGGGCAGACGCGATGGGCCCTGGCAGAGCCGCCCCGCCGAGGACTCCGCGCCCCCGCCAGTACCTGCGCCTCACCTTGCCGCCCCCTGCGCCCCTCACCGTAACCCTGACTCACTTGACTTCCCCCACCCCCCGCCTTGAATCCCTGCTCCCTACGCCCTAACCCACTCAGTTCCCCCTCGCAGGTCCCTGCCTCACCTCACAGACCCCTGCACCCACCTCGGCCCCGCCCGCAAGACCGAGGCCGGAAGTTCCGCCTCCCCGGCAGCCCCGAGGGCCGATTGGCCGTCGTCCTTCCACCACGCCCCCGCTGTGGAGAGGGCTGTTTCCGAGGGCGCAGTTCGGTGGGGCCGCGCGTTCTCTCCGGGGTCTCTGCGGCTGCAGCTTGCTAGAGGGTTTAGTCCTCCCAGGTCTAGCCGCGTCACCTCACCTCGGGGACAGCCACCATCCTGCTCCGTCCGCGGGAAGGAAGGGGGCGTATGCAAACAACTTGGAGTTCTAAGCTCCTGATTGGTGAGCGTATAAGGAAGGGGGCGGGAAGCTCTGGGCGAGCGGGGCGGGCTTAGAGGGCTGTGATCGACGTGTAGGCAGTCCAGTGGCTCTGGGAGATTGGCCAGCAGTGGCCAATGGAGAAGGGGAGGGGGCAGGCGAGGGCTGAAGAGTTGCGGGGTCAGTGAGTAGGGTTGCCGGTGACTTTGGGATGCTCTACGGGAAACGGCAGGGGCGGTAGTAGTGCGGATGGACGTGCCTGTGGACCAGTGGCTTTCTACAGGAAAGTGGGAGTCGAGGGGCCAATGGCGACAGCGTGAAGACGGGGCGGGGAGACTGGAGGCTGTGTGGGAATTGGTGGGGGCGGGGCATTTGTGATGGACGTTCCCACAGACCAATGGACGCTGGAAGGGGTGGTGGTGACCAATGGCGACAGCGTGGGGCGGGGCGACCGGAGGTCTCGCGGCGCTGTCTGGGGAGCGGGGTGGGCAGGGGCGCTTGTGGTGCTGACGGACGTGCGGGCAGGCCAATGGCCGCAGGAAGTGGGGCGGCGGGAGCCCAATGGCGGCGCGCTGGGCGGGGCGGGGCGGCGGGGCTGGCGCGGCGCCGTGAGGGAAGCGGGCGGGGCGGCGGCGCTGAGGCGAGGCAAAGCGAAGAGAAACGAAGCGGGGGCGGCGGAGCAGGTGCAGGCTGGGCGGCCTCGCCGTCCGCCGGCCCTGCTCACCCGCGCCCGCGCCCACAGGTGGGCTGGAGGCCTCCGCCGCCGGGCTCCGCGGCGCCGTGGGCATGCGGGCGCGGCCTGCGCGCGCGTGAGCGACGATGGGGACTCAGGGCAGCCCGGTCAAGAGCTACGACTACCTGCTCAAGTTCCTGCTGGTGGGTGACAGCGACGTGGGCAAGGGCGAGATCCTGGAGAGCCTGCAGGATGGCGCGGCCGAGTCCCCGTACGCCTACAGCAACGGTAAGGCCGGCCGCTGCGCGCACCTGGCGCAGCCGGGCGTCCTGCGGTCCGACTCGCATCTCGGGCCGGGGTCGTGGGGGGAAGCAGCGGCCCGAGCTCGCGGAGACCCTTCTGGGGCCCACGGCGTCGTGGGGGCGGAGATTTTACCATGGACCTCCTAGAAAGGTCTTGTCTCGGGCCCGCACCAGGTGTATCCACCTGGGCGTCTTTAAAGGCAGGCCGTTGGCTCACTGCGTAGGGCATCAACACCTTGTGTTGGAAGAAAACACCCCTTCCTGATGGGATTAAACGTTCTTTTCCCGTCTCTGGATGTGTGGCGAAAATACACATCAATAGTACCTGCTTGAGCTCCCCTCCGCCTCCATAGTTGAGGTGACCAGTGAAGCGGTGTGGCCGGTACCCCCTGCCCTCCGGCCCATCTCAGGCCGCTGGGTTGGCTCCTCCCGAGGACCTTTGTGCTTCTGGAAGGGCTGTCCTACCTGACGAAATTTACTTCGTGGAGCTTTTGTTCTCCACACCCTTTGTGGCTTTGTTTCCTGGGCTCTTGTCAGTCCTGCCTGACCACTGTGAGCCTTTGCTGTTTGCTAAATTGCTGGCCTGTGGCAGCTGAGTGTGGAAGCTTCTTTCTGACCCTTTCGTTTTAGGACTCGTTGGGGTTGTTGGGTTACCTGGGCTGGCTGAGCACTCTTCCTGCTGGAAGTTGTGCCACCTCCCCAAGCACATGTTCCCAGCCCCAGCTTGGAGACATCCCTAAGGGTGAGAGAATGGGAGCCCTGGATTCATTTTAGGGGAAGGAGAGAAAGTGCGAGGCCCCAAGGGGTGTAAGAGTGATGCCTCCAGGGGGCTTAGCTGGCCCCTTCACTGGTATCCGTTGAGGATTAGACACTGGGCATCCAAGTTGCTTTCCCAGAGGTGGTGTTGCTTCCTGGAGCCCTGCTCTTAGGAGGCTGGTGGGGGGTGTTTGGCAGAGCTTGAGGGGTTGGGCTCTGTCAGCGCCTTCCCAGGACGTTGATTTCCACTTTTGAGGGTCCTCCAGCTCGGTGCAGGGAGCATTCAGGTAACACTGAGCCACAGGTGGAGACGGGGGAGCTGCCTCCTGTCCCTGCTGTCAGGGTGCGGTGTGCTGCCACACTTCTTAGGAGATGGTGAGTGGTGAAGCAGGGCATAGGCCAGCCTGAGATGGCAGGGATGTCAGAGACTCATGGCATACTGGTCCAGCGGGAGGGTTCTCTGCCAGTAATGGTGAGGAAAACCCACTCTTAGAAAGTCCCGTATGCTGGTAGGGCCTGGACATGCCCAGATGATCCTTGCAAGTCTGCGTGGCACCCAGTAGAGAAGGCAGGATGCCTGGGCCCCATGTCTAGGGTCCTTGAGGTCAAGACCTGTGCCACGCATGCGGGGAGTGGGTCCTCATGGTCCAGGCATCAGCTCATTGGGCAGGCCAGTGCTCTGTATCAGTGTGAGGTGGGTGAGTCAGAGAACTACCTTCCCCGCTGAAGGCGTCTTGCTGGTTTTCAGGATTTGGCATCATGTGAATTAGTGCTTTGAAAGAGTTGTACTGTTCAGGAGCTTTTGCTCTCTAGTCCTCTTATGGTGGGTACACGTGTATTTCTTTCCTCTTTCCTGTTAAGAGCCCCTCACCACGTCTCAAGCTTTTTGTGTTTGCCCCAGACTTGCACAGTCGCTCTGAGTGGGAGCAGGTGACCATGGCAGGGAAGTCTCCACCTATTGAAGGGCGTGTAACCAAACCCCCTTTCTTTGGGCCCACCAGATTACTTCCCTACATCAAAGTCTTGCCTTGGTTGTTCCTCAGCAGATTCCTAAGGGCACGTCACTCTCGCCAGCTTCACCAACATGTGAGTCGTCAGATGGTCTTTTCTAGCACTGGCACCTGAAGCAGCAGAACCATGTGTGACAACTTGCCAGTGCCCTGGGAGCCTACGTGGGCTCTGGCATCTGGTCATGCTAACACACTCCATATTTGGGGGTCTCATAGGTCTGGAAGTCTCCCCTCAGGAGGTTTGGTTTCCCTTTCTTTGTAACCCACGGCAGTGGTTTTAGGGGAGGGGTCTGTTCTCTCTTCAGGACTTTGCACAGAGGTTCCTCCTGGGCTGTGCGTCCAGTGGGAACTTTCATTCCAGAGCATAGGCAGCAAGAAGTATGCTATGGAAGCTGGCGGGAGGGAGGTTCCAGAGCTTTGTGAGCACTTTCTCCCCAGTCACCACCAGACCTGCCCCTGCTCTGCGGAGCCCAGGAATCATTACTGTGGGTCTTGGGCTGTTCCCCCTTTACTGAGGGTGGTGAGCATCGTCCATTAAGGCAGTTCTATCCTCTGCATCTTGGCTCCCATGAGTCTTTAAGTGGAGGATTGTGATTGATCAGCCCACATCCTAGAAGACTAGAGGGTGGGCACACCCCATCTCCTCGGGGTCAGTGTTGGTGGAGCTATGCAGCATACAGAAGCTCACCTTTTTTGAGTCCAGGGCATTGGGGAGGGAAGGAAGGAGATCTGATGGGCAGGAGAAGCAGGGGCATGGTGACGGGTGTGCACAAAGCAGGGCAGGTGTGGGGGCCTGCCATGAACATGTGGGGTCTGCTGGTTGTTTCTGTTTCTGGGACCCAGTGTGCCAGAGCATCACAGTGTCCCTGGGCAGTTCCAGGTGTTTCTCTCGCTGGAAGTTGGTTTTGTTCTCAGTGCGAACCCAAGGGGAAACCACATCTTCAGGCGTTTCTGTGCTTTTTCCCAAGTCAGGACGTGTCTCTGGACTGTATGCCCCTACTATCTTTGCTGCTTTGTCCCCAGTGCTAGCATGAGACCTGCACACAGGAGGCACAAACTAAGTGTGTGTGTTAGATGAAGAGCAGCCTGATAGCCTGTTCCTTGTTCTGACAGTCACCTTTGCGCTTGCCTGGGCCTGCTGTTTGGATCTCACTCTTTTCAGGCTGAGTTACCAGGTTTGCTGTTCTTCTGTCAGGTGACAGATTCTGAAGTGAGGTGTGGCTCTGGGTGTGATGTGTCCCCAGTGCCTCTCATCCTGTCCTCCTGCCACCCTGGATGAGACACCAGCATTCTCCCATTTTACAGATGACAAACCAAGGCTGAGACAGGCTGAGAGTCTGCAGCTGCCGTAGCAAAGTGGGGCCAGGTGCCCACCATCTCCTAGGGGTTGGGCAGCTGGGCACTTAGCTCCCCCAGCCTGGCACTGTGGTTGTGGGGATGACCCCATTCTCACCACTTCTTATACCTTCACCCTTACCTCCACCCTGGGCTTGGGCCTGGCTCCTCTCTGATGGCCACAGCCCTCCCCTCCAGCTCTTCCTCTCCTCAGTGCATCGCAAATGAAGCTTTTTCCTTCCTTCTTGTACTTTCTCTTCCTCCCAGCATCTCTTTTTCAGATCCTGGGACCCCTCTGTCTGCTCTGGGGCCTGGGACCAGTCACTGAGGCCCATTTGTTCTCCCTTCACCACGCTGGTCCTGCCCTGCCTGCCTCCTGGCTGTGCCACCAGAGCAGAGACCCAGTAGTGCCCAGGGTCACCCACTGACCAGGACAGCAACCTGTTAGTTTCCAGAGGAGTTTCTAGAGGTCCAGAAAGGGCCATGGGTAGACCCATCTGCAAGTGTGACGGGATTCCTCCAGTCCACCCCTTTGTAGGAGGCACTCATCTGCTATGTATGGTGTGAAGACCAACCTACCCTACCTGAGAGGGTGACTGGCTGGGAGGGACAGATTTTGGTACCTACTTCAGATTATGCTAATTACATTGATTTGTAATTTGGACTGGTGTGGTTTTTCCTAAATTTTCAGGAAACTAATGTATAGGTAGAGTATTTTCAACTTAAGGTTTTCTCCCCAATTTTCAGCACTTGTTGTAAGCTCAAGCTAGGCACGGGAACAGGCAACGCAGAGCTGGCCTCCCTCCCAGGGTTGTGTGGTTGCAGCAGCACTGCTATGTCATCATGCATGTGTCATGTCATTGTTTCTATCAGCAGGAGTATTTGTGTCTTAGATGATGAACCAGGAAGGAAACGGGACGGGGAAGTAGACAGGAAGGGTTATGGGGTACTTCCACCTCTGTTCTATTTGAGTTGGAATTGCAGGGTGTACAGTGGCTGGTCTCTGAAGAGCTGGTTGCTTACCTGTTTTGGGCCTTGGGGAGGGAGGAGGAGGAGGGGACAGAGTTGTAGCCAGGCCTGGAAGTGAGCAGCACCTGGCATGGGGACATGCCTCTCACGAGGTGGTGTGGGGCCTGGAGCCAGTCAGTTAGGGACAGTCCATCAGACATTTGAGGAAAGTGGGGAAGGTCTCAGTGTCCAGCACCCTGGCTTGGAGCAAGCTGCAGAGGGAATGCTAGAAAGGAGAGAAAGATGGCTTGTGGGACTGGATTTACAGCCCTCGGCGCTCAGGAGAAGGGTCTTGGGACTGGTGAAAGTGTCAGAGACCAGGAGAGGAACTGGCTGCACCAAGACCGGATGTGTACGGTCATCCTTACAGTGGGACAGTGGGTCCTTTCAGTCCTTTGGGGACAGACTGGGAAATAAAAGTGAATAAAGTGAACCTGAACCCTAAGCACAAGGTAGTAACTAAGGTTCATGGGTGTGGTTGTGTGAGCTGTTTGACAGGTGGTCTCTGGTGTCCGTGGTACTCACTTTTCTTCTGCCAGGATCAGAAAGGTGAAGACTTCATCAGCTGTGGACATGTGTCCTTCAGAAGGTAGAGGAGGGACAGGGGACAGAGGTGACTGGGTAAACCCAGAACTGATGGAGGTGGGGGACCCAAGAACATGAGCAGAAAGCCTTGGCTCTTCGTGGTGGTTTGGTTAGGTTGCAGAAGAGAGAACTGACTCGTGCAGAAGGTGGGGGTGCCTGGAAGACAGGCTTCCAGGATCATGAGGAGGGAAGGAAAGTGAAGAGGGATCTGACCAGGGTTTAACCAAGGAGTGAAGAGGGTGTGGTGTCAGGAGGCCAGCATACTGAGAGAGCATGCCCCCATCCCCATAGA